ATATACAGTAGAACCTCGATTTTACGTAAATCGGGGGATTCGTAAAATAGAGGCTAGGTTAAATGTGTGGTAACCTTTGACCTAATACGTACTTAACGCTCAATATACGTATGTTACCTATCTAGGCCAGACCTAGCCTATAGGCCTACGAATAAAATCATGTGTTTAGTGTTTTTATTCATCATTTTACGGTGTCATAATAAAGTGTTCAAATAAAACCATGTGCCTAGTGTATTAATTCATCACTTTACATCTTTTATTTAGCTAACGAACATGAAAATATTGTAAGATTACCTATACGACAAAGGTATAACTTGGGAATTCCCCTTCGTGCCTATTGTAAACAACAGAGCTGTGGCAGTGTTTTCTGGGCCTGTTGAGACAATCTAAGCCCATGTGCACTGGGCGAGCCAACCAAATAGCGTTTGTGTATGTGAAACAGCAACCATGTGCACTGCACTGGGCAAGCCAACCAATTAGCGTTCGTGTACGAAACTATGCCTACTCAGCTTCGTGTAGAAAATTCGACCAAACAATTTTTTGCATGGTGTGCCACACGAAGCTAAGGAGGAAAGCAATTACTTTGAGCACCATTGGTAGTTGTTCATCTCACTCAGTTCACATGGTTTTAGATTCAATCAATGTTGCTGTTTAATGAAAATATGTTGCATTATGGCTTGCTTATTGTTATTGTTATAGTTTATTGTTATAGTCTTTTTACTTACGGTTGCTCTGAAAAGGGCCGTTTGTTTTGAATAATTTCGGGATTTTTTTATGACGTCATCGTCGATACGAGGCGTACGTAAAACCGAGGGTTCATATAACTGGGGTACGTAAAAACGAAGTTCTACTGTACACTTTTAATTTATCATTATATTTAAAATATCATAGAGGAATACTTACTAATATAAAAATTTCTTATACATAACTTCACCATCTCTTTTGCTATCTCGTGTACATTTTGTGTATGTTTTCCATATTTATTTATTTATTTATTTTTTATTTTTTTGTACACAGGTCCCTCATCACAATATGCAGTCTTTTAACACCAACATAATGTCAATGGCTGCCAAATGTCTGAAATCAGATGCTACAAGTACCAGTACCAGTACATATAAGGCAATGATATACAAGAAAAGGGGGGGGGGGGGGGTTTGCAAAAATGTAAAAATAGTCTTACCATGCCGAATACTGTCAGAGAATGCTGCATCTGGAATGGCCTTCTTCAAAAAATTTAGCATAGATTTAAAAAGAGCTGCACGCTGTGGAAAACACAGCAACCCTGCAATCAACAAATTACCAATAATAAGAATGTAGTAATTTTTTTAAATAAAATGCTATTTTCTTTTATTTATATTTGTATCCTTTTTCTTTAATGGTGCTTAGGTTTGGATTTGCTTTAAGTGCTTTGAATTAATTGGATATTTATGTACTTCACTGTTAATATAATGTATTCCATTGTCTTGCATACCATACATTTTAATTACAATACGTCGCTCACATCACGAACTAACACAATCAAAGTAGATTGTGTTAGTTCGTGAAATCACAGTAGCGCGTCAAAACGAGCGCGTATTGGTTGTCAAGAAATTTTGTATTCTTTACCACACAGAAAGTCCTTAACGACAACAGCGTGTATTTTGACGTGCTTTTTTGATTTCACGAACTAACACAATTGAATTTAATTGTGTTAGTTCGTGATGTGAGCGACGAATTCTTCAGTCATATGTTCAATTTTAAATAACAACTAATTACATTTTTATAATAGTACATCAACATATTGTTGTAACTTCTTTCCAACTTACTAGATTTTGGCTTTAACTGTTCTTTACTGTTGCTATTACTACCGCTCTCTTCTCTACTGCTAGATGGTCCCTGATTTGTTTCCATAGCTTCAACTCCAACTGAACTTGGACTTGCAACATTTGTATCCATGGCAACATCATCTGATTGATGGATAGGTGACATTGAGCCTTCTCTTGTGCGAGATGTTGTGATACTTGGGTAGATGATGTGAGGTACATCACGTTTGCATAATTCAACCTCATGCTTCAGAAAAAAAAAAACTTAAAACTAGATGAAGAGTTCAATGCATGATTCAAATTAGCTCAACATCTCTAAAAGAATTATTCCACTTTCATTATTGAAACTTAATTTATAAGTGACTTTTTTACATTTCCAACTGGATATTCTTACTGCATGTTTTAGGTGAAACATATAGTTGAAAAACATTAGTAATTATTTAATTTCTTATAGGCTTCAGGACTCTACAGCAGGTCTACCATCATAAATAGTCAAAGACAATAGTGATAATAGTAACAACAAACCTAATTTCATTGACAATGCATTAAATCTATTTATATTTGAAAAATATTATATAGGAATGAATACTCAAGGAAAAATTTGTCGAGAAAGGAAAAGTTTAAGAATTATATGTTACCTCTAATCTATTGATAAAACATGCCAGGCCACCATGTGTCTGAAATGCTGACATGTCAAGATTTGTGATCAAATCTACAACTCTTACAGCTCTTGTTACAAACTATAGAAACAAAAATTAATCAATTAATATATTAGTCAATCAATTCAATCAATCCATCAGTCAATGAAACTGTCAATCAATCCATCCAACAACTAGTTTACAGATTTTATATAATTTGAGGAATGATTTAGCATACTAGTTACATAATATACCCCATTTTTGAGATTACGAATCTTGTGCGCGTTTGTTACGTAGACTTGTTTTGTAATGACATGGCTGATAACAAACAAACGCGCATGAGATTCTTGATTTAGAAAAACAGGATACTATGTACCTGATTATGAGCTAAATTAGTTCTCAAATTATTTAAAATTAGTAAACTTTTTCTTTTAAGTGTATCATTATTATCCATCAGTCAAGTCATTAATCAATCCATCAGTCAATTCAACCAACCCATCCTCAATCAATTCAATCAATCAATCCGTCAATTAATTCAATCAATCAATCCGTCAATTAATTCAATCAATCCATCCGTCAATCAATTCAATCAATCCATCCGTCAATCAATTCAATCAATCCATCAGTCAATCCATTAGTCAAGTCAATATATCAGTCAATGCTATCAATCCATCTATCATTCAATGCTATCAATCCATCCATCAGTCAATGCTATCAATCCATCCGTCAATCAATTCAATCAATCCATCAGTCAATTCTATCAATCCAACAGTCAATCAATTCAATCTATCAGTCAATCAATCCATCAGTTGATTTAATTCACCTGTCAGTAATATAAATCAATCCATCAGTCCATTAATTCAATCAATCCATCAGTCAATTGATTTAATCAATTCATCAGTCAATCAATTCAATCTATCAGTCGATTCAATCAATCCATCAGTCAATGAAATTAATCAATCCACCAGTCAATCAATTTCATCAATCCAACAGTCAATCAAACCATCAGTCAAGTCAGTCAATCAATTCAATCCATCATTCGAATCAATCAATCCGTCAGTCAATCAATTCTATCAATCCATCATTCAACCAATCCATCTGACAACCAGTCGATCTGTAACTCAATATATTAACCAATCACTCTATTAGCCAATAAATCCATCAATAAATAATCCATCAGTCAGGCAATGCATCAGCCAATCAATCCACCAGGTAAAGTCAAATACAAAGTCAATATTCAAATAACAAATCCCCTGTCCTGAGTAAACACATGGTGTTTACTATTAAAAATTGATCAATAAATAACTTTCTTGGACTAGAAATTAAAACAAATATTAAATTCACAATTATGTTTGCAAACAATTCAAGTTAAGTTTTCTCATCATTTCCTAGAAATTCAGTAACAATAGTCATGAGTATATTGTTACCGTGTCTCATCATTTCCCAGAAATCCAGTAACAATAGTCATGAGTATATTGTTACCGTGTCTCATCATTTCCTAGAAATTCAGTAACAGTAAACATGAGATGTTATTACTTATGATCTTTCATTATTTCCTAGAAAGTCAGTAAAATTAAACATGAGTATGTTGCTATTTACCATCTCTTATTTTAAATAAATCTAGCAATGTTAAACACACATTAGCTTATAAAACAAAAATAATATGGCTATAAATAATAGAATCTCTATTTGCTAATTACAACTTACTGTAGTGTGCAATTGTTCATCCTCTCCAGACCACCTGATTACCTTTAGTAGGGACTCCATCATACCACATGACACTAATGCTTCACCACCTGTCAATTAAAACACAGGTGCATCCAGTTGAGCCAAAAAGTAAATTAATTTATTTCATCAAGGGTAAACAATGTTAAATGAAACAATTTGTATACAAAAATGAAAAATCTTAGTGGTTGTTCACACAGGGCATGGTTTAATACTTTAAAAATAAGAATTAGAAAACTTTGAATTTTGGCAATACCTGTTTCATAACTGGCTAGATGATACAAAAAAGAAAAGAGTGCTGTAGCAAATGAATGAGGGAAGGCTACTTCATTTGGACCTGAAATAAATTAATAACACTAAGCAAACATCATTGACAGTACAATGGTTATACATCTCACTTACATAATAAAAATGAAAATATTATTGATATTACAATAGTTATATCATTGCTTAAAGTATTAAGGAAATAAAAATATAATTGACAGTTGTGTAATTCCTTACCATATCAAATGTTGTAGTATTATAGTGTGATTTTACGATGAGATTTTGTTAATGGTTTGGTTTAATTGCATTTACTAATACAGGTACTCAATACCTACCAAACAGCTGTATGCTGCCTAATTTCTACACATTTGAGCTATACACATCAATCAATATTGCAAAAATAAGACCCAGTTACTTAAAAATCTTTAAAATAACTAAAACTAAAAATGTAAGATATTGGTAAACTTACTTGTCATAGCTTGAATACATCTTCTTACAAGAACTGGCAAAAAACCATGATATGAGCTGGCTCCTGTAGCATTCACTATATTTTGAAGTCTGCATTAAACATTTTTAAAACTTATAAACAAGTAGCATATTTCAAACATCATATACAACAATTGAAACACATCAATTTTGAATAATAAACGTTGTTCTCTCAATTAATAATTTATCTGGTATACTATTACTTATTAACCAAAACACTGGATTTTGGGACATGATTATGATCCCATCTAGAAAGTGACTTACTTTGGATTTCTATCTAGGTGGATAATAGAAGTCAGAGTCCTTAGGGCAGCTGCATTAATTTCCTGCAGAAAGATATTAAATATAACACGGTATATTAGAAAAATAAAATCATATTAATATAAAATCAACCATGAGTACACTAGAAAAATAAAATTATGATATTTAATATAACATCAATCATGCTTCATTAGAAAAATAAAATTTAAAATTAATCAAAACCAAATCACAGATTACGACATTGAGTTATAATGATGATACTGATTGTGATAATATTGATTACCATCATAATGAAAGATAATAATATAATCACAACCATGGGAATGATTATTTAAATATTTTACATGTAGATGGGAATATATATATTCAGTTCACCATTCAGCTATTTATGTTATAACAACACTGTAAGCACTTTTCTGTAAGGGAAATATATCCAACTCATGATCAACTGCAAAATGCAAAAATATTTTTCCAAATACAGTAGCAGGAAAACTACAAACTATTATCTGGAGATCTTGTACCATGGTTGCAACAGTAGCTATTTTAACAACATTTTAATTTTACTAATTATCAATAGCTTTAAAGAGCTGAGTGAAGATGAACTTACCACAAGATTAGTATCATCTAGTTGTAACACATCTACCAGTTCTTCAATGAATCCAACATATAACAGAGAACTAGAGGAGTCTGGTATTGCACTGGTATAGACTAAAAGCAAAACAGGCAAACGACAAAAAATCATATAACCAACAAATGCATCTTTACTGGTAATCAAACAAATGCAAAGCTCAAGCTAAGAGTAAATGGAAAGAAAGGCATTAAATGAGAATTATAAAATTACTTATTAAGTTTTGAAAAAAAAAAACTGAAACACCTAACAAGAAGCTTACAATATTATTGATATTGAGAGCAAGCTACAATCAAACTAATAAATATGTAAATGCAGTAAGTGATATACCTATTGTACAATATGACTTACCTAATATAGAACGTGTATTTAATAAGTAAGTGATATACAATCTGACTTACCTAATACACAATGTGTATTAGGTGGTAGCAATGGTGGTAGCCACTGTGTGCGTGTACTGAACCGTGGAGATCTCTAGGTCCCTGTTCAATTCCCATCGCTGCCTCTCCTTGTGTTACAAGTTACAACAGCGCACCGTCTTCCAGATGAGACGTTTAAGCCATTGGTCCTGTGTGCATTTATGGCCTACGTGCATGTTAAAGAACGCAGTACACTCTTCGGAAAAGAGTAGTGGATTGTCTCCCAGTGTAATACCCAATCACCACCAGAAGGACCCACTGGAAATAAGTCTTCAGACTTTCATGGGCTACACTTGGTGTTTACACCGAATAAATCCAATCCAATCCAATGTGACTTACCTAATACAGAATGTGTATTAGGTAAGTGATATACTTATTGTACAATGTGACTTACCAAATACAGAATGTATATTAGGTAAGTAAGCGATATACCTATTGCACAATGTGACTTACCTAATACAGAATGTATATTAAGTAAGTAATATACCTATTCTACAATTTGACTTACCTAATACAGAATGTGTATTAGGTAAGTAAGTGATATACCCATTGTATAATGTTAGTTACCTAATACAGAATGTCTATTAGGTAAGTAAGTGATATACCTATTGTACAATGTGACTTACCTAATACAGAATGTATAGTAGGTAAGCAAGTGATACATCCATTGTACAATGTGACTTACCTAATACAGAACGTGTATAAGGTAAGAAAGTGATATACCTATTGTACAATGTGACTTACCTAATACTGAATGCGATCTAAATAATATAGGAAGTGACTTACCTAATATAGAAAGAGCTTGCAGCCTGGCTTGTACACATAAAAGACGTTTTTCATAATCAGAAAAAGCACTGGCTAGCCTCACATGAGTAAACAGCAACATCTAATAACAATTTAATTCAATATTTATTTAGCAATAACATAAGAAACTGCATTGCATTGTCTAATAAAATTATGTTCACTAGCGCCAACGAGGTGCGCCATACTATCAAGTAGGTTAATAAATACATAAAAAGAAGAGCTTAATAAAAACTCCCAATCCCTTACCGCTACACTACTAACTTGCCCTCAAATTGCAATACATTTAAATTATTGTTCTTTATAAAAATTAAAATATAACAGAAACTAAAATCAATGAAATATATTTAGTACCAATATGAATCATAAGAACTTGCCTGTTTATCTTTAGGTACACTGTATTTCTTGCAAAGATCTTCCATAATTAGTGAAGAGCTTTTTGGATGCTGCAAGAAACATAACGTGATTGATATCAAAAGAAAAAAACAACTGATGGCTTGAGCCAGCAACACCCAGGTTCATCCTTAGCATTTTAAAGCAAGTTATTATATAAATTAAATGTCAAAATTTCTAAAATCATATGGATTAGTAAACATATTAAAAATAGTTTAAAAAGCATACAACTTTCGATGAAAAGTATTAAATTATTTTTGGACTATTTTGCAAGATTTTACCACTCAACAGGTTTGACATGAAGAAATGTTCTTAACCTTTCAATGTAGAATATTTTATAGCAATTGAATTGATCAATGATCCTAGCAAATAATATGGTGAGACACCAAAGTGTTTTCATATGATAAATATACCAAAGAAATACTAAAGAAATGAACAATTTCTTAATGTTGAAATGTATTTTTAAAGAGCATTTGCTTCTAAACAAATTATGCAATTAAGCAATACCTACAATATAAAGAAAAGCCTGTCTGAGCCTTATAAGGGAAAATGATTTGTAGTGCATTAAAACACAAACACATGTAAATAACTTAGAAAGACCTTAAATATTTTACCCTTGTATAAAACATTGATATTATATATTTGGTAGCACAAAGTCTTGCCTAAATCCTCTGTATTATATTTTTTATGAATGTTCTTTGTCAATTTACTGTGAAATTGCCTATATATTTCCAATCTAAAGACAACAATCTTACCTTATCTATATTTTCAAGATGTATAACATTGACAGTATGAGAGCCACTCTGTGAATGAAAATTTTACAAACAACTGATGTAAATATTAACATACAAAAAACAATCATATTCCTATTCAATTGCAAATTAAACAACATTTCTAATAAAGCATTACCTATTTATACTTATTGAACATAAACAATTAAGGATTAAGTAAACGTAATTGAAACATAGATGTTTATGTTAAAAGCATACCTTCTTTGATGATTTCCCATCTGGATTATTCGAGTAGAATTCAAAATGTAAAGTAGTAGCAGATGATGGGCATTTCTTAAACAACAAAACAAAAACAACTGCTCAAACATTATTCAATTTTGAGCAAAAGGTTCTACCCAAACATGAAATGTGATGACTTATCAAAATATAGTTGTTTTCAATAGTCTTTCAATCCTGTATACAACCTCAAATTTGTAATTCTGTTTCTCCCAAAAAAACATTCCGTACAAAATTTCATATTTTTCATTGGAATCATGTTAGTCCAATTGTTTCTTCTCCATAATGTCAAATATTGATTAATTATACGAAGAGCAGCAGCAATACTTACAGAGCCCGATTGGCAACATTCAGCCAGCCCAAAGCCATTCTCCTTTCCACCCCAGCTATCAGCCAAGTACATCAGCCGGTTAAGCAGCTCCTGACGCTTATCTCCTGATAACTTTACTATGAAATTGGATCGTTTACTGCCAAAAAATTATCAACATATTATATTTTGTACAAACACTATCCTCCCTTTTATATTTCAATATTACTATTTATTTACAATTTACAAGATTAGTACAGGATGACAGCATCTTTTTTATTTGCATAGTAGATATACTACTGTAGTATTAAGGACATACACTCTACAATATACACTCATAAGTTATATTATTATTATTATTTTGCATTTTGCGCTCTATAAATTGAAAAGCATTAACCATTATTAGGACTAGTGACATTTGTAAACAAAAATAAACTAAATATAATTAATAGAGATTATAAATTGGTGATTACAATGAAAATAATTTAGCATTTAATAAAGTTGTCTTTTTATGTTAAAAAGCAGAGTACACAAGCCACCAGCCAACAAGTGTACATGGAGACCCTTAAAACAACAAAGCGCAATGATACATATTGTTTTTAACGATGCTCTCAGACTGCAATTAAAAAATATATTGATTTACTAACATAAGAAATGTTTGAGAAATTATCGTACCTGAAGACATATATCAGATTCAGAACCACCAAGACAGTTGTCAAATCGGAAGAGGCTAACAATGTTGTTAGATGCTTAAAGACAAGAAAACATTCTATTAATGAATCAGTACAGTATAATACAATATACAGGATTTATACAATTTCATATAAAACTACAAATAAAAATATATAAACAACAATGTGAAATTAATTTTCCAAACATCAACTAGCATGAGCATAACCTATAGCAAATTAATACTGTCTATAGTTTTCTGTCTATATCAGTGGATGTGTCTATACAAGTCCTTGAAATGTTCACAATTTTTGTGAAATTTGTATTTTTCAACACAAATACTAAAGGCTCCAGATATCCTTCCTCTCCCTGCCTGTTGGATAGTACCTACTTGGGATCAGTAAATCAATCTTTTTTCATTGTTACGTATGGCAGAGTGCTCTGTATTTTGAAATAATATAAGCTTTCTTCATAATAGATTTGCATTAGAAGTCTAAGAATATAAAAGAGAAGAAGAAGAATAGAATGAGTGATGGGACACGTTACCTCAATGGAATTGTAAAGATGCCTTGAGAAACTGTGTTCAATGAGTAATGAAGTAAAATAAAGCACATTGTGAATCAATCTCTTAGTACTAGCATTCTCAGGAATGTCGCAGTATAACTGCCATTGTGCGACATCCCTCTTCTAGGATCACATCAAACCGATCCAGCACATCAATCCAGTGGTAAAGTTCACACTATCGAACATAAATTGTTGTATTTTTTAAAGAAATATAAACAAGATTTTTCAGAACTTGAAAAGTAAATCCAAGATAAATAATAACTAAAAGATGATTTTAAATCAACAATAATAATATTAACAACAATAAAAATATTACTACTACTACTTAAACACCATTGAAGTACTAATATGTACTAATAGTAAGCTTAACAATAATGACCATGCTGGTGGGAACCCTGTTTGCCTATTGCAAAAAATAATCAAATAATAAAACATGATAATCTATCCATATTTTGTTAAAATATTATTAAAATATGATTGTGATCTCTCCCATGTATCAGCCATGTCAATTTAAGATTTTTCCATACAGTATTATCCTCAGTATAGAAAATAAATGAAAATGTTTGTTCAATAAATAGCAATGAACTCTAGATCAATATACCTAAAGATGATTATAATTTGTGTACTGTTATTTGCATAAAATACTTATTTAAGAATAATCTATAGACAGGGACAAAGGCATGATATGAAATCATACTTTCATATATATTGGTAGGATTGCTATTACACAGTTTATAATGAATCATTATAAATGTAGTCATGAAATCTAGTACAGTCAAAAACACTTGTATTTACTAAGTAATTTAATACAGATTGAGAATTCAGAATTGTCAACCGAAATTAACTCAAGTGCAATACTCACAATGTTTGTAACTTATGCATTTTAAAATCCTCATTATATCTAACATTATATACTAATAATTATTTTAGTAAATTAAATTGTGTTTCTACTAGTCTCTTATATTTTTATTCCTATGATTAGGCAAGAATGAAATAATCTATGTAAATCTTGGTTTCCTTCAAAATGCTAGACTGTCATTACAGTGTTTTCAATGCAATACTGCATAACAGTCCCCAGCACAATCGGGAAGGCTCCCCGATTGGACACACCAATCAGCATCTCCAAAAGCTGTTGGCGATAGCATGTAGCGATTGTATGGAAAACAAGCTTAATGCATCTTTTGTATATTTGTCTTGCACTGGGAAACACTGAATAAAAAAATTATAATTTAAGCACATCTCAAGTAAAACAACAGCGGTGCAATTTAGTACTACAGTACCGCCATGAAATATTACACTTCTACCTGCGCGCAGGCTTCGTAGATACATCGTAGCCTGTTATAAACAATCTAACCTGAGCACAGGCTTCGTAGATACATCGTAGCCTGATATAAACACTCTAAGTAAGGCTATGCGAAGCGAACATACAAAGCAAAAGCATGTTGTTTATTTGTATGTGCAGAAAGACTGCTGTAGCTTACTGGAATAAACAATGTATTGTTTGATAATTTGTGAATGACAAACACGAGTTTAGACCGTTAATTCAAAGTATGGAGCTGTTTTTCAATAAGAAAAACGTACACTTGACTTCATGGGAGTCTCCTCTTCCACTCGCTGTCCACGACAGGAACTTGTTTGTACTGCTGTATTATTTTTTTTAATTAATTAGCCAAGGCCTAGCTTATTTGTTATTTACAATTATTTTACCTCTTTTAAATGTCAAAAAACGATGTCCTCAATGACAATACACACATGTGAAAAGATTGTTTATCAAATAATATTTTGTAGTCTTGATTTAGTAAGATAAATAATAAATATAAAGGAGAATTAACGTCCGTTGGTTGTAAAATTACCGAATGCCACATGGAAAACCCAATGGAAAATAAAACTTAGCCAGCATTAGACGTAAGAGTGCGCGCCAATCAGAACACAGTAAAGTGTGTTAAAGGTTAACCTCGTGGCAAATGTTGAAAAGCTGTTAGCAACAGTGAGTAAAAAACGGAGTAAATGCGGTCTAGCATGACTAGCCTTAATTCGGCAAGGTAGTGATTTCTATAATTCCATTTAGTATTGGATCGCTTTGCAGGTTGTTCTGCTTCAAATTACGGTAAACAATAAACAACTTGATCTGTAGAAATGGTAATAATTTGTACATGATTTGTCATCAATATTATTTAAAAGAAGAAAATTCCTACTACCAGAACAATAATATCAGATCAAAATATAACTACTGTCTGCTCTCCTCCTCTATAGGGGAAAATGTAGGCCGTATGTAAGCCTAAATGACATCGAAATTCGAACATACTGAATGCCCACTAAGTTACCCAGCTAGCGAACTAAACACAGTTTTAAAACATGATCGATTTAATAATAAGGTAGGATATAACAAAACAATAAAGTTCTAACAT